CCCCAAAACCCCAAAACCCCAAAACCCCAAAACCCCAAAACCCCAATTAAGTGAACCATATTGAATATTATATAAAATAGGACATTTTGATGACCAGCTAACTACCTGATTGATACTTGGCCAACAAAGACTTCTTGATATTAACGTTAACACTTCTTCTGTGCTTGTTCAGACCCTTTACAGCACCTGATTCTTTGGATCCTTTAGTAAGGTTGATCTAGAGTATTAGGATGTAAATTACTGTCTTATAGTTTGCAGCTCGCGAGTAGATAATTCTACGTACTTTTCCATTTGCTATCCTTTGGGGAATATACTGGAAATCTGGCTTCTTAATAGGATCTAGAGAGTTTTTAAAATCAAAGTACTCTCTACAGTTTTTAATACTTCATTGTGCAACCTTCTTTCTTTAGATTTCTACTCTTGTCGTTTATATGGAGCTTCTAAAAATTATTAGCGAAATTACTTTAAAGAATCCTTGTAGCATATAGTGATACCGTACGTTTCTCTTCTTGGTCTTGAAAACTTTGGGATGCAGAGTAAGCTCCTGAGGGAATTACTTTACATTACATACTTTTTTTTCGGATTTAGGAGTACAATATCTCTTGGAAATACTCACCGGAGTAGCAGAGTTCCGACTACCAAGCCGGAACCGGCTTTGTTGTGGAAGATTCATCCGCTGGAAAGCTTCAAGATTTTTCTTTGCTCCTATATCATCAATATAAGAAGTCTAAATAGTAGTTGAAAGGCGCTAAACTTCTTTTTAGTTCAGTAATTAATAACCAAAGGGTAGTAATTTCTTACTCATCATTGGGCTGGGCTCAGGCTTGGAGCCCAAGCCAGCTCGAGAGTACTTCAAATGAGTTCTCTTCTTGGTATTTCGAAATTTAGGGATCTATGAGGAATTAGTATATGAGTCTACTCCAATATGTGAGCCTTTGATTATGACGTTGTTCATTTTCAATATATATTATTTATAAGGGGTTTTGGGGTTTTGGGGTTTTGGGGTTTTGGGG